CCGAACTTCTTCAGCAAGACTGACTCAATCTCGTGCTGAGCTAAGTCGTTCCTTTCACCACCGTTGTGTAGGTGATGATGTGCTTCTGAGGATCCGATGTCCCATCATATTTTGGCACGTCTAGCATTTTGAACTGCTTCGGGATTAACCTGGTGCCGCGCTCGGTTTGAACGGCAACTGGGTCTATTTCTTTGAGTCCGATCCTTTCAACACTGGCAGCGCGCCCGGGATTTGGTCCATTCGAGCATTTATTTCCCTCATAAACTGCATGAGTTCGATTTTAAAGGGATCATTTCCATTATTGTTACCAGATCCGCTGCCGTTCCCCCCGGCCCCATCGAAGCCGACCTCACCCCTCGAAGTGTTATTAACAACCCTTTGTGTTGTTTGGTTTGCGGGAGCAGCGGGAGGAACTGAACCTCTTCCATTCGCGTTGTTGGAAGCACCTGACAACGCTTGCCTCAACTCTGTCATAGCCTGATCTTGTGCGAGAGATGGCCCATAATAGCCTTTTGTTGTTCCCTCAGGACTCTCACCGTTTTCGCAACGTTCTCGTCTTCAGCATCATCAGGAGTTGCCTCTCGAACGTGTCATGGATATTGGCCGCCATGGACTAGTATGACTGCATCCTCCTCATTGCGGGTATCACTGATCGAATATTTGTGTTGAGGCGGATTTCCTTGGGCCTCTACGTTGTGTGCGATGTTGACAACGTTATCTGTCATTTTTACGATTTTTCCGCTAAGAAACAAAGAATTAAACAGATTTGTAATAGATGCAAGAATCAACTCAATTATGCAACTGTCTAAGCCCACGGTGGGTGCCAAACTGTTTAACCGTAAAATAGCACAGTTGAATTTGTAACGTGGTTTATAGACAAGCGAATCGATTTAATCTCAAAATGATAAATAAATTAAATAAAATACAAGACTTAGCGTTGAAATTGAGATAATACGGTAGATAGCTTGGTTCCGGGAGCAGAGCTTCCGAAGGCAATAATAAGATCATCAATAGACAGGAAATAAAGTATTATTGAGCTTAGAATAAAGTGTAGCATAAGTTTGTCAGAAAATTTGTGTTCTACAATGGTTGTTGAAGTCATTATTTATAGCTGCACATAGGGAATAAGGTCCTAGGATCAAGCCCCTCTTTAAATGACAATTATGGGGCCCATTGATGAATGTGTAACGTCAGGTCATGAATACCAAAATTCATCGTAACGGATTATGTATTTAATACTGAAGAATATTATTTATTGAATGCCATTGGGTGGCAAACATTTGTTTGTCTTCGTTAGCAATATTCCCTTCGAGGTCTAACCGGTGTCAACTGGAGCTGTTGTCCTCGGTCTTGGTTTCCACTTGCCTCGCTTTTCGTCTGTCTCCGGTTCCACGTGTCGCTTTATTATTTTAGTATTTAATACGAACCTATTTTACCCTATACAGTCACCGTACCACGTATTATTCTAGAATTAAAGCTTTCCAATTGGACAATCTCATGAGTTGACTGACTATCCATTTTTGAAAGGTAATTCTACTATAAATTTGGTAACAACTGTGAAATTACCATTGATAACAAATAAGCTAGAAATTAGCAACACCTAAATAGCACTTACTTCCACAGCCTATGTTTGCAGGGAGAGTTAGTCTCACAACATCATCTAATTACATCTAAGTACAAAGTAAAGTGTGCAGAAAATCTCTACCACTTCTCGTTTTTCTAGATATCCTAAGTATAACTATCCTCTCTTTAATCTCTTGTTTAATCTGTGCTATCTCAATCTCTGTTTGTACATTTACTCCCTTGAACATCTTCCAATTTCTGGCCTTCCAAGTATGATACACAACAGCCCCCCAGATTGCCACTACCACTTCCTTCTTCAGACTTGTCCATTGTCGCCTCTTTATTCTTTCCAAAGTTTGTTGAATCTCACCAAACTGTATATGGGCACCAATCCATTGCATTGCTACTGTCCAATTACATTCTCCAAATAGGTGCTGGGTTTTCTCCGGGATTTGATCATCACATAGGCAACATTGCATATCCTCCAATTGAATTTGTAGCTTGAACAGTCGATCTTTTGTAAGCAATCTCTGTTGGTTAGCTAGCCATAGTATGAATCTATGTCTTGGCATTACCATTCTGCTCCATATCAGTTTTAGCTGCATTTAATCTACTCTGTGGTCTATGTAGTGCAATATAACTACTAGTGATTGAGTAGTCCCCTCCTTCTGTAAGAATGTATTTCCCCTGGTGATACCATGCATGCATCTCCTCCTTCATACTATTTAGTTTTCTCCAATACCAGCTATTGGTTTGAGGTGCTTGATGTGACCATATATTAGTTTCCCCTTTCATATAAATTCCATGTACTCATTTCACCCAAAGGGAATCTTTGTTTTTCACAAGCTGCCATAGCAATTTGCCCACTGAAGTAGTGTTCTAGTTTCTGCATCCTTTGACATTTAAGCCTCCTACTTTTTTAGGAAGACAAATCTTATCCCAAGCAACTAATGAAATCTTCCTCTTGCCTTCTGTGGATCCCCATAAATACTAACTGCATACCTTGTCCCCTTTTTTTGCAACACTCAGTGGTAAGATGAAAAGTGCCCCCCAAAAGCTACGTATGGAGAACAATACTGCATTTCTACTATAAATTATGCTTGTGTTTTACAAAATAATTCATGAAAGTGTGTTATGTTGTCGCTTAAATGATGATATCCCAGTAAGATTTTACATTCGTTTTTATTTATAGTTTGGATAAATTGATCTTGTCTTAAAGGTTTTGTTAAGTTAGGCACCCATTGAACATAAAAACTAGGAATTTTTACATTCCTATGCCACATAGGAAACCTTATTACCCTCAATGTTTAAGGTTTGACTTAATTACACTTAGCATACCAAATTACCAATTATATACCATAATTAATTTAAAGGTATAATTAATTGGCAGTTTTTTTACTCCTTAATTAAAGGTGTCCATATATCCCACGTTTCTCTCTCCCCTTAATTCCTAAGATCTGACAAGCGACGTTTTCCCCCTCCCATTTCTTTCTCTTCTCCATTCCTTCTTCTTCTCAAAAAATACAGAGATGAGACCCATTTTTTATAATCAAATTTTTAGCCAAAGAGATACAATATGAAACCCATTGTTTCGATTATTGTAATTTCTGGTAATTGTCAGATATTGTTCTAAATTTTAACAACTACGAGATCGAGAGTAGATGTATGACACAGAAGACTTCCTCAATCGATCAATCAACAATTCTCAATCCTAAATTTGTGGGATAACCATATGAATCTTCTATAACCTCCGGCTCCATTTTGTCTATATTATTTCAAAATTAAATAAATTGTCTTTTTAAGCAATTTAGAGGTTCTTTAAAGGTAGAGATTCTTCAAGTGTCACACTTATCCGGCATTGACACACAAGTTCTTGACCAAACTAGAAAAAAACTTGGTTAACAAACATCTGACTCAATATAAGTGTGACAGTGTGGGTGCAATTGTAGTTTATTTGTAGGTTTTTTGTAGATGAAGAGCAAATTTTGTAGTCAACATTTTTTTTCAACATAAGATTGTAGTTTAATTGTAGTATAAATGTAGTAATTTTGTAGATACCCTTAAAAACAATACAACTTTATAAAATACTTAAACTGATCTGTAGTTTATTTATAGTTTTTTATAGAAATTTTGTAGATGAAGAGAAAATTTTGTAGTCAACATTTTTTTTCAACATAGATTATAGTTTAATTGTAGTATAAATGTAGTAATTTTATAGATACCCTTAAAAACAATACAACTTTATACAATACTTAAACTGATTTATAGTTTATTTGTATAAACTTTGTAGATAAAGAGAAAATTTTGTAGTCAACATTTTTTTTCAACATAGATTGTAGTGTAATTGTAGTATAAATGTAGTAATTTTGTAGATACCCTTAAAAACAGTACTGCTTTATATATTTAAACTGATTTGTAGTTTTTTCCCCTCCCCTTAAACTGATTTGTATTTTGTAATTTTGTAGTTTTTCCCCTCCCCTTTCTTCATCTTCTCCATTCCTTCTTCTTCTCAAAAAATACAGAGATGAGACCCATTTTTTATAATCAGATTTTCCCCGTTCAATTTTTTTTAAGGTTAGTTTAATTGTTACTTTCTATGTTTAAATTAAAATAATTAAAATGGGTGGAATAATTCTTTTTGAAGAGAAAATTAAACTAGAAAAAGAAAGAAAGAAGAACTGAATTTTCCAAAAGAAGGTAAACAAGAAAAAAGGTAAAAGAACAAAAAACGAGGAGGCAAAAACGGAGAATTTCATGAACAGAATATAGGCTTTTGTGTAAAATCAATTAGAATATTTTGTTTCCTTATTTGTAGCGCGCCTATTTAGGAAGATTTAACTACTAATAATTAGTAATTAATGAATGGTATAAAAATTGTAGAAAAAATGTCGACAGGACGGGTAAATTAGAAAATATGCACATATTTGGTAATAAAGTTTCATATATGGTATAGGAAGGAAAAAAAACTCAAAAAACTATAGCTTTCATTTGTTTGTATGGTTTCTCTGCAGAAAATATTGGATTATTTTATTTTACCAAACTTATTACATGCACAACGATTGAAATGCAATACATGTATTTTGGTTTCCATTTGAGCTAATGTCATTTTGTCGGATCTAGCATGTTGGTTCATCAGGTAAATACATGTGCTTCACATTTGTAAGGAGGTATAATAGTCGAAATTTCAGCAAGTATTATTCATAAAAAGAGAGAAAACAAAGATCATAAAAACTTTTGTTCATTCAATTCATATAGAACAAACTGAACAACCAATAGAATATAAGAAGCATAAAAAACAATGGAGATCAATGAAATAAACACCAAATTAGAGGAGAGATGTTTACAAACTTGTCAAATTAGAGGGAAAGCTATCTTATTTTTTTTTGTTAAAATAAAGGGATTGTCTAAGTAATTGGCCTAACAGAAAAAGTAAGAAGAAAATACAAATGAATTTTTTTATATCTTTCATATCAAGGAACAAAAGCTTTTTTTCCACCAGGGTCGAGGAGTGGGAGAGTGGGTTTTACAAGACAATGATTCCAGTATACATTATGAAGCCAAAATTGAGATTATTCAAAAACTCAATTAAGTGAACATCCACAAGACTGTTATCCAAAAGTGTAGGGCTCACTTTTCACTTGGAACTAAAATGCTACAGCTAACACAAGGTTAAATCTATTTATAAGTTTAAGTATGCAAATATTATTTGATACTATGCCTTTTATCACTCAATCAACTACGTCTCAATCCCAAATGAATTGTGTTTTGGAACAGTCCGCCTTTGATTTAATCTAACAAAAATTTAACATAAGCTACAACAAAGTCACAGTAAACTGTGATAAGCTTCAGTGGCTTCAACGCCCGAGCTTTCGATCCTTCTATATACAACAGAAGAATAACATATAACTGCAGTGGGTACTCTGAATTATTATGTACTGGATGACTAAAAATTATTCATCCCCTGATCCTGCATATTAAAGAGGGGTCATCTTAAAAAATGCCAACAAAAAGAAAGAAAAGATAAAAAAAAATATATTTTCTTGATGCTGTTTGCAAGAAAAGGACACCTAAAATAAGAAGAAGTTACTTTCCTTCGAATTTTGTGTAATTTAAGCAGGATTTAGTTTGGAGGAAAACTTTTGTGAAAAGTTTTAACGGGTCTTCTCACAATTTGCACAAAAGAAAAAAAGCAATAAATTGAACTTCCTAGCACTTTTCTTTTCCTTGCACCAATACAAAGTTGAAAGTACCTGAATGTTTTTCTTGCGAAGCAGATGAATTTGAAACACTTTTTGAACTAAATCCTGAATGCACTTGAGGGTCACTTGAAATTTCCTGCATAACATGCTCGCACCGTATTACAACTTCCATGCATTGTCACAAAACGCTAGCAAGATACGGCACTAGGAACTATCCTTAACAGAGCGTTAGGTCCGCATTATATCTTGCATACTACAAGATATAGTTCAAACTAATTTTAAGAATAAGATGGTTGCAAAGTCAAATATTACTAGCTATGCATTAAGTTCCCTGGAATAAGTTATCAAACTGAGATATAGAAGAATTTATTCATTATGAGAACGAGCAACATGTTTTTTAGGTCTCTACTTCTTGGTATACCTCTTGTATACGGGCTTTTTTGCCCAAACTCTTTTGAATAAATTTATTACCTTACAATAAAAATGAAAATGAGCGACTTGCCTGCGATATAGATGCTTGGCTGTGACTGGGGGAGGGGCCAGCACTGCCACCTATCAACAATTGACCCATATTTTCTTCAGTCAATGCTCTTAATCGATTAAGCTCGGGCAAGACGACTTTGCCAAGGTCTGGCCTGTCCTTCCGCCTCAGTTCTGCACATTGGAGTGCTAGGTTTGCAAAATTGAGGGCCTCTTCGATTGGCCAATCTGGAACAGAAGGATCTAGTGCCTCTTTAAACGCTCCCGTCTCAATGCATTGTGAAACATAATGAGTTATGCCCATTGCTGGCTTGGCCGTTACCAATTGTAGAAGAAGGATTCCTAAGGAATAAACATCAGATTTAACCCCAAGCATGCCTGTTTGTTGATACTCTGGATCGATGTAGCAGAAGGTGCCAGCTGCAGATGTTATCCGGTATTGTGTTACCTCTTCAGTAGTAGAAGGAGGAACAAGCCTTGAGAGTCCAACATCACTAATCTTGCTTACATAATTATGGTCAAGCAGAATGTTGCCAGGTTTAAGGTCACGATGCACCAGAGGTTCTGGCTTGGTCTGGTGCAGAAAGAGCAAGCCGGTGGCGATCTCCGCTGCAATACGAAATCTAAGCTGCCATGATATTGAACGTTTATCTCCACGTCGCATAAGGCGTTCCTCTAAACTGCCATTTGCCATGTACTCATATACCAAACAGCCATACTCTGGGCAAGCTCCAAGAAGTAGAACCATATTAGGATGCCTCATACGACTCAGCACTTCAACCTGTGTAAGATTTTGCATTAAGAAGATACAGAGGAAATAACTTAAAATACTCGACACAGTCATAAACACTATCACGGGACCTTGTCCATACCTCTTGCTGAAATTGAGATCTTCCTTGTGCTGCATCTGGACGTAAAACCTTGATTGCTACTGGTGTGTGATCAAGATAACATTTGTAGACAGGACCATATCCTCCTTCTCCAATCTTGAGAGAATCAGTGAAAAATTGTGTTGCCTCTTCGATTTCTTCGATGCTGTACCTCCTATATCTGAAATCACCTTGACCTAAGTTCATCAATGCTCTCTCCTTCTGCTCTGCCTCTTTAAGGGCTTGCATTTCAGCATCTACCCTTCTTTTTGCTTCAAGTTCTGCGAGTCTCTGAGCTGCTTCGGCAGTTTCCATAGCAACCTTACACTTATCTCTCTCCTTCTCTGCTGCTAATTTTGCAGCTTCCTCTGCAAGCCGAGCCTCCTCCAATCTCTTTTCCTCTTCCATCCGCCAGACATTGAGCTCCTCTGACTAGACATATAATATATAAAAAACTATCCTATCCCATCTAAAAGTATGAGAAGATATCAATATGAATTTTTTCACCTTCTGTTTCGCCGTCAGTGCTTCCTTGCATGCTGTACTGTACAAATCCATTGTCCTCTGAAGCTCCATCTTTAGCCTTCTCATTTCAGCCTCTCCATCATCCTTTGAATTTTCAAAAGTGATGTTAATACTGATAACATACTCAACACTGACATTAACCATAAAAACATCAAAATGTAACAGGAAATCTTCAAGTTTTAACCCAAAGACTAGCATGCAGCTTTTGTCATTTGAATCACCTGATACATGCTTACTTTTATCTGTGCCATAAGTAACCTTTTTCCCCTTAGTAATTTTAGATTGTCTAGCCAAAAACTAGTTTGTTGAAACGATTCATGCTTCGTATGAGCTCCTACATAAATGAACATCATCAAAGAAATTAGGTTGCAATGTATCATGCTTCTTAGGTTCAACTTACTATTCTCCTAGATTTGTTGCTTTCAGTTCTCCCTAATATAGACTCACAACACGAACCAAGACTAATAAAAAAGGGTAATTGAGCAGTAAAGGTTGTCGATATCAACTGTTTCCTGAAGAAGTTACTTATCTACCATATTTCCCTACAAAGAGGGTAAACTTACTGTCTCAAAGGAGGAAGATGAAAAGTCATTGAAAGAACTGAGTTCACTCCCCCGAGCTCCCAAGCGTTCTGAGCCAAAGCTACTATCTGAACTTGTTGATATTTGTGAAATACGGCCAGAATCCATGCCATCATGAAACAGCATGGAAGATGTGTGATCAGTGCTTGGCCTACCAGAGCTAACGAATGATAGATCAGTATCCGCTTCAGAAAGGTCAGAAAAAATTCTTGAAGGGAGGATTCCTCGTCTATCAAATGGTGACCTGCTTCCAAAACTGCTGGGTTTAGCGTGTGTGTGTGTATATATATACATATATATCATCAAAACCACAGGACATCGCCAATATAATTCCAGCAGATCTTTTTTTCATATATTATGCAAATTTCAGTTATTAAGCAGGACATTTTTTTGGAGCAAGGTAGAGTTACTTAGCCTTAATCATTGACAGGAAAAGGGATCAAATATGTGAAGCAGATCCACTAGAATACTGCAGGTCTGTTTGCTTTAGATTATTCTAATTATACAAGAAACTAGTTCTAACAAGATAAATTAAAATCATCAAATTCATCAAAGTAAAATATCAAAAAACTGATATCGTTCAGTAACAAACACTAATTTGATTAGTGAAACTGAGTCTTTCAGAAAAATCAATAAAAATCAGCCAAAATAATGAAGGCCCTTGCTTTCGGCTAATTGCTGATTTCAGAAAATTCGTCAAGTCACATTTTGGAGGAGATGATGTTAAGTATTTGTCATGATTTTCTTATCAAATTTGGTTTTCCTATCTCTCGAAGTAAAGGACAACATATTTACCATAATTGAGTTTTCCTTTCCTTAGAAGAAAATTATAGATCTCCCACATTTGGCTAGTCCCTTTTCTTGGAGTAAAAGGTTTTTGACTTCTATAAATTGAGGATCCTTCCTTCTCATTTAGTAGCATCCACAATGTAGCTATATGGATTTGAGAGTCTTGTTTATGGGGAGAATTTCCGGACAAGTGTTAGCGTGCCGCTTGTGTTTGCCTCTTTGTGAGGTTGTTGTCTCGATATTTTGTACTTTTTTTTTTATAGTGGACTGCTCATCTCTGCCTATAAATGTGGGTCAACTAACCAAACCACGTTAATTTTTTGTGTATCTTTTGGTGTATTTCTTTTTTGTTGTCTGATTTATCGTCGTTCAAGGGTTGTTTTGTTAGCTTCCGCATGACACCTGATTATTTCGATCCTAACAGATGCTCCTATCGTCCAACAAAACTTCTCAAGTTTTGACTTCAGAATACAAACACAATCTGAAAGATCATTAAAGATTCACAATACACAAACACCTCTTTCCTCCCCCCAATGAAATAACAGGTTTCATGGAACTAACCCAATTTTTTTGCTCTCATCCGATATGAATGACCTGCGCTGTGACCTGTCCACAACTGATCCAGCTGCACAAGTAGTTTGACGAGGTAAGTTAGATAGAAATGTTTTTTTGTTGACGTACAAAAAAATTCATTGTGGAAAAAGACATTTCATACCATGGATCGCCCTGGTACGAGCAGTAGGGGTAGTTCCAGCACTATTAACTTGTTCTTCCAATTGCTGTATTTGTTTATAAAGAGGGGAAGCCATAGGGGCTGGGCGAGAAGCGTTTTTCACAGAAGAAATCTTTGACTTTGAGATGACATAAACGGTGCAGAAATCTGGTGCTCCCTTTGATACAGTGCTAGGTATATCCGTAACCTTCAACCGTCTGTGGCAGATATTAGCATTAGTGTTCATATCACACCCTTGATCGAGCTAGGAAAAGTAAAGACTGAACAACTGTCAAATACAATGTTTACTTTGATATCTTTTTCTCATGCTGGAAAGGGGAGGGGAATGCATTGTTACTTTGGTTATTGTGTTCAATCTGAAAGTAAATATGGAGAATCTTAGGTGAAAAATTAAAAGATCGGACCTGATAAAGCCATGCCTAGATGCTCCAAGGACCAAGTTCTGGATCGCAGCACTAGACATATATTCTGTCAATGCTTTTGTTACATCTGAGTCTTCAAGTATAACGTCTAAGCAACGGATCTGTTCAAAACAAAATAGATAAAGAAGAGAATAACACAATTAACGTCCAATCATGTGTTGGAGGAAACACAAATTGATGTTCTCATTTTACTTATTCCATGAATAATATGTTAAATGCTACGCATTCTCGTGGATATTGGAAAGAGTTGAAGTAATGCTTACATCTTTACGTGTACAAAAACAATGGAAGGTAAGAAACAATTCTTTGGTTTGTTTCTCAAGATTTTGCCCATGTGCAGATAAATTTCCATCTACGACGTGAACTCCACCACAATTTCCGTCTGCATATTAAATTTGATTTTTGTTTGCTAACGTCAGTATACATCATAAGGAATTCAAGCTGTTCCTCCTTGGAACTTACTCTAGACCACAATTTCACATTGTTGTCCAAACACCAAGAAAACAATGGACATGGATGTACCAACGATATACCAACCATCGCAATGAAATAAATGTGAAAAATTAGATCACATACCAAAGAAGAAATTATACTCTACCATTTCTAGCTCAACCTAGAGTTTGAATCAAACTACTAGCTCTAATTGGTGAAATTACAAGAGCAAATGCAGCAATATCAAGGCCAGCCAATTAGGAGCATTATGGGCAAAAATGGATGGGAAAGAAAGATCCACAAAACTTACGATGACCACAAAAACACACACACACGCACATATTTATACACATATAGAGAGAGAGAGAGAGAAAGAGGGAGAGAGGCATACAGGAAGAAGAAGTAGGTTTGGTGACAACATGAATAAGGACAAGAGTTTGGCCTCTGTTAACCAAATTGTCAGTGGCCCATTTGATAGCATATTGGCTGCCTTTGTCTTTGTCAATAGCAATTGCAACAACTCCAGTCCCATTGCCCCTTCTGTTTGCAGGGCTTCCCTTATTGTTTGGGAGCCACATTTTTTTCCTTTTGATCAGTCTCAACTTGCAAAACATGCATGCATCACAATCTCAAACTCCTTTCCTCTCTTCCTACTTGGGATTTCCAAGTCAATTAGGTAATTGTTTTGGATAAGTCTTGACAACCGTACAAGAAAAAAAAAATACTGTAACAACCAGCGAATTGTCTGCTCAACCTAGGAATAATCGAAAATGTCTGGTGTGCGTCATTTAAGTATGTGTTATTTAGAAAGTAGGCTTGGTTAAATTATTACACCTTAGTATTGTAAAGTAAACATTGGTTTCTATTTTTATTTACTTTCTCTTTTCTTTATTCTTCACAGATCTTTGAAAACTTTTTGAGAAAATTTTGAATAAATAAAACGACCTTCAAATAAAATTAACTTCGCAATAGAAAATTAAACAAAAAATATGACCTGAGATAAAATATGTCTTTTTGCAAATTATTATTATTCAAGCTGAACGAATGAATGCTAACAATGGCTGGGACATTTTAAGTTTTGCTCTAATAGATAATTGGTTGAATGAGTTAAAAATGAAAAATTTGTCTGCTAAAAAAAATAGCACGGGCTAGTCAGTTTTCAGATTGGTCATTCAAAAAGAGCCAGCGTTTGCAAATCATTGAAAAATAACCACTATTTTGCTGCAACACGGAAAGTTCCAATATAATATACTGGAGATCGGTGCACCTGTGTATGAACTTCCAGCATATTATGCTGGAACTCTAACATGCGAAAAGTTCAAGCATAATATACTGGAGATTGGAGCACCTATATATGAACTTCCAGCATATTATGATAAACCGGTATATTATACTGGAACTCCAGTATATTATGCTGGAGAATTTTCCGGATTTTGAACAGCATTTTCGTTCAGATTTATATTTTTACATGAAAAGTGGCTAAATTTTGATTACTTTTGAAACTGTGACTATTTTTAAATGACCATTTATAAATCTGGCTATTTTTAAATTTCTCCCCTCAAAAACATAAATACTAATAGGCAAATTATATACAAAAAGTTAGCTATGGAAATGGAATTGTCAGCCGTAATCATAATGAGAGATGGATCCACTAAAAACTTACACGGTTGCCTCGAAGGGCTTAAAAGTCTCCACAGTCAAAATTACTAAAGTTATTGTAGTTATCAATTTATTGGACCAATCAAAACTCAAAATAACATTTAAATGATCAATCAGATTTAACTTTACATGAAAAGTGGCTAAATTTTGATTACTTTTGAAACTGTGACTATTTTTAAATGACCACTTATAAATCTGACTATTTTTAAATTTCTCCCCTCAAAAACATAAATACTAATAGGCAAGTTATATACAAAAAGTTAGCTAAGGAAATGGAATTGTCAGCCGTAATCATAATGAGAGATGGATCCACTAAAAACTTACACGGTTGCCTCGAAGGGCTTAAAAGTCTCCAGTCAAAATTACTAAAGTTATTGTAGTTATCAATTTATTGGACCAATCAAAACTCAAAATAACATTTAATGATCAATCAGATTTATCTTTACATGAAAAGTGGCTAAATTTTGATTACTTTTGAAACTGTGACTATTTTTAAATGACCACTTATAAATCTGACTATTTTTAAATTTCTCCCCTCAAAAACATAAATACTAATAGGCAAGTTATATACAAAAAGTAAGCTCTGGAAATGAAATTGTCAGCCGTAATCATAATGAGAGATGGATCCACTAAAAACTTACACGGTTGCCTCGAAGGGCTTAAAAGTCTCCACAGTCAAAATTACTAAAGTTATTGTAGTTATCAATTGATTGGAAACTCAAAATAATATTTAAATGATCAATCAGATTTATCTTTACATGAAAAGTGGCTAAATTTTGATTACTTTTGAAATTGTGACTATTTTTAAATGACCACTTATAAATCTGGCTATTTTTAAATTTCTCCCCTCAAAAACATAAATACTAATAGGCAAGTTATTTGCAAAAAGTTAGCTATGGAAATGGAATTGTCAGCCGTAATCATAATGAGAGATGGATCCACTAAAAACTTACACGGTTGCCTCGAAGGGCTTAAAAGTCTCTACAGTCAAGATTACTAAAGTTATTGTAGTTATCAATTTATTGGACCAATCAAAACTCAAAATAACATTTAAATGATCAATGACTAAAAAAGTGATACATGAAATGACAGGAAGAGGCCTTGGTCGGCAAGCAGGCAAGACAACGCCCAACTGCTTCTAAGCCTTTTCTATATATAGAAGTTATCTAATATATAGAAGAGCCTTGGAAGCAGCTGAGCGTTATCTTGCCAGCTTGCCGACCAAGGCCCTTTTTGGTCATTTTATGTAGCACAATTTTAATACGTGGCTGCAATTTGAGGATGAGAAGGACAATGCCACCTCTCAATTTCTATCTAATTGTTTGCTTTACTCTGTTTCTATGTTTTTCGCTGATCATAAATATCATCGGATACTACTTGTATGCTTCTCTTTCACCCACTGAATTATAGTTTTCTTCGCTCTCTCCTGTTAAAACACTCTGAAATATCCCACCGCTCTTCTCGCGCTCAGTAGGATAACCAGCGAACCGAAACAACACTCTTCTTAGCGGCGAACTTGGTTCTCTTTCGCTACTACTAGGTACCTTTCTTTCTCTCCGACTTTGTTCCTCTTCATTTCTACCCTTACACTCCAAAATTCATCCTTATGCTAACAGGCCTAATTTCTTTTAATCCCTAATTATGATTTTGGGTAAATTGGAAAAACTGTGTGATTATGTAATTATTTGGAGGTCTCCTCCTCCGTTAATCGAGTTTGCAGTCGCTATGTTTTTTTTAATCAGCTGAAATTCAATTGGTTTTTGCTTTAAAATTTGATGGGCTTAAAAACTTACACGGTTGCCTCGAAGGGCTTAAAAGTCTCCACGGTCAAAATTACTAAAGTTACTGTAGTTATCAATTTATTGGACCAATCAAAACTCAAAATAACATTTAAATGATCAATGACTAAAAAAGTTACACATGAAATGACAGGAAGAGGCCTTGGTCGGCAAGCTAGCAAGACAACGCCCAGCTGCTTCCAAGCCTTATATAATTACATAATTATATAGCGACTGCAGTTGCTACGTTTTGTTTTAATCGGGGACTATCTGTATATGGTCAGAATCAGGTATGCCCGATTTTCCGGATGTTAGCTTATATGAGTCCACCAAACTATAGAGTACCTGATCCTCTATGAGATGATGCATAGAGTGCAGTAAAGACTGAAAGTAAAGAAGGCAAGAGATTTTCTACGTGGAAAAATCCCACACAAGGGGATCAAAAAAATTACGACCTACTCTTGTAGGCTTTTAACTGCACTAACTTGCAATCTGCCTATTACAAGCCACTTTGCAAAAACCCTATTGCAAAGACTTCAAACTAACTTGTGATGCAACCACCACAAGCCACTTTGCAAAAACCCTATTGCAAAGACTTCAAACTAACTTGTGATGCAACCACCACAAGCCACTCTATAACTATCCTAGTTACAAAGGCTTTAAACTTATGACTATCCCTAATCACAACATAAACTCAGAAATTTACGAATTTTGGTTTGTTCCTAAGACAATGCTTCTAAGAAAGCAAACTAGGAAATATAATGAAGAGCAAACAACAAGATTACAACTCAACTACAGATGTACATAAACTCATTAAGAAACTGATCCTTAGTGGAGTTGTCTTCTTGTTCTTGATACACCAGTGACTTCAATGCAGGATGAATGGTGTTATGCTTGAGAGAATATCACTGAATGCACGAAGAATGGTGTGTCTTGCACCAGGTTGTTTTATCACAAAGATAGCACAATGGATAGTGATGTCAACTCTTGGTGTACGCTTCTTCCCAATGAGAAGTGACAGCTGTACAGTCTGCACAGCCACTTCTGGGCAGTTGCGTTCTAGCTGGATAGTGGACTTTGTTCTTCTTGTCAGGACACACCAACAGACCAGGTCCTAGTTGTGTTTCTCTTCTGTGATAACTGCTAGATGGTCACTTTCTTCTGCTACGTTCCAGCTGTGTATTTGACTTGTATTTCTGTCAGAGAACCCTAAGGGAACAGGTCCCTGTTGTGTTTCTCTTTATATTGATTGCGTACAGTCACTGACTTGTGCTTGTGTCGGAGAACCCTAAAGGACCAGGTTACCAGGTCCCTGTTGTGTTCCTCCCTGTGGTTTTCCATCCATTTGCTGATTTTCATACTTCAACAAAGTCACATGAAGTGTATACCATGTGGGCCAGGTTGCCAGGTTCTCTATCTGGTTCTTCACGACAAGTTTGTTAAATCATCAAAACATAAGACGCATAAGGCCAAGACATTAAAAACCCATCAATTTCCCCCTTTTTGATGATGACAAACTTAGACATGGACAGTATTTGTTTAGAGAAGAAATAACCAGATGAGATGCCAGAACTACACTAAGTTCCCCCTTAATCTCAGATCTCCCTCCTTTCTCTCCTTTGTGTTCAGGTAATTACCCAAATTTCAATTATCTTTACCACTTACGTTAATTCTTGAACAAAAACACATACACAAACATATTTATACACACATAGAGAGAGAGAAAGAGGGAGAGAGGAATGCAGGAATAAGTAGGTTTGGTGACAACATGAATAAGGACAAGAGTTTGGCCTCTATTAACCAAATTGTCAGTGGCCCATTTGATAGCATATTGGCTGCCTTTATCTTTGTCAATAGCAATTGCAACAACTCCAGTCCCATTGCCCCTTCTGTTTGCAGGGCTTCCCTTATTGTTTGGGAGCCACATTTTTTCCTTTTGATCAGTCTCAACTTGCAAAACATGCATGCATCACAATCTCAAACTCCTTTCCTCTCTTCCTACTTGGGATTTCCAAGTCAATTAGGTAATTGTTTTGGATAAGTTTTGACAACCGTACAAGAAAAAAAATACTGTAACAACCAGCGAATTGTCTGGTCAACCTGGGAATAATCGAAATTGTCGATGCATGTTCAAATTATTTAATTTTATATGTATTTGTTAATAAAGGAGGCGTGAGAGTATTGGGGGTACTATTTTTATATCATACCCCTTTACTATTTTAAAAGTAAGAAAATAACTATTTTAAAAG